TGGAAGCTGCGATACAAACCAGAGGAATTCTCTCCTTACCGGCAAAACCCACCGGAGTTAGAAGCCTTCTTCAACCATCTCACGGCTTAAAGCAGAGACTTTTCGCCTCGAAGCCAAGAAATCTACCTGGATTGTCTCTATCCTTTAACGGGCACAAGAAATTTCAAACCTTTGAGCCAACCCTTCACGGGATTTCGATTTCCCACAAAGAAAGAAGTACCGAGTTCATATGCAAGGCGGAGGCTGCTGCTTCCGGCGACGGAGCTGTGTTCGGAGAAGGAGACACCGCCGCAATTGCAGCGTCGCCGAAGATTTTCGGTGTTGAGGTTACAACCTTGAAAAAGATTATCCCTTTAGGGTTAATGTTCTTTTGTATTCTTTTCAATTACACAATCCTAAGAGACACAAAAGACGTTTTGGTTGTGACTGCGAAAGGAAGCTCTGCTGAGATTATACCTTTCTTGAAGACATGGGTTAATCTTCCTATGGCTATTGGATTCATGCTTCTATACACCAAACTCTCCAATGTTCTTTCCAAAAAGGCTCTGTTTTACACCGTTATTGTCCCTTTCATTGTCTACTTTGGGGCTTTTGGTTTTGTGATGTATCCTCTTAGCAACTATATTCACCCTGAAGCTCTTGCGGATAAGCTTCTTGCAACTCTCGGACCAAGATTCATGGGTCCTCTTGCGATCTTGAGGATTTGGAGTTTCTGTTTGTTTTATGTCATGGCTGAGCTTTGGGGTAGTGTTGTGGTTTCAGTTCTCTTCTGGGGATTTGCAAATCAGGTGATTAAACTTGTCTATACATTGAAGTTTTGTGCTTTGACTATGGATCTTTGTGTTTATGGTTTGATGCATGTTTGGTTATTGTAGTAGTCTTTGATTGTTGCGGAGTATGATTACAGGTTGGTGTTTTGTGAGTTTCATTTAGCATTTGATTTCAATCTTTTTTGCAGATTACAACTGTTGATGAAGCCAAAAAATTCTATCCTTTGTTTGGACTTGGAGCCAATGTGGCGCTGATATTCTCAGGAAGAACAGTGAAATACTTTTCTAACTTGAGAAAGAATCTTGGTCCTGGAGTTGATGGTTGGGCAGTTTCGTTGAAAGCTATGATGAGCATTGTGGTGGGAATGGGACTCGTCATTTGTTTCCTTTATTGGTGGGTCAATAGATATGTTCCTCTTCCAACTCGTAGCAAGAAGAAGAAGGTAATGATCTGCACAAGTTTTTGTGTTCTGTCTTTGTAGCTTATGAGGACTCTCTTCTGATTTGTTTTCTCTCTACATGCGACTGTTTTGCAGGAGAAACCAAAGATGGGAACGATGGAGAGCTTGAAGTTCTTGGTGTCATCACCATACATTAGGGATCTTGCTACTTTAGTGGTTGCATACGGTATTAGTATCAATCTTGTTGAAGTCACATGGAAATCAAAGCTTAAAGCTCAGGTATATACAGCTTTTCATCATTCTAATTAATTGCTTTCAAGTTTTTAGCTCCTTAAGTTCGTTCGTATGCTTTGCAGTTCCCTAGTCCGAACGAGTACTCCGCATTTATGGGAGACTTTTCAACTTGCACGGGTATTGCAACATTCACAATGATGCTTCTCAGTCAATACGTATTCAAAAAGTATGGTTGGGGAGTAGCTGCAAAGATTACACCAACCGTTTTGCTTTTGACCGGTGTTGCCTTCTTCTCGCTGATATTATTTGGCGGTCCATTCGCACCACTTGTTGCCAAGCTCGGTATGACACCTCTACTCGCAGCTGTCTATGTCGGTGCCCTCCAGAATATCTTCAGCAAGAGCGCCAAGTACAGCCTGTTCGATCCTTGCAAAGAAATGGCATATATCCCCTTGGATGAAGACACCAAGGTTTGCTTGCTGATTGATTCATCTCGAATCCATATGGCATCAAAGTGTTGTTCTTTAGCTTCGTTTTCATGTGATGCAGGTTAAAGGCAAAGCTGCGATTGACGTGGTTTGCAACCCGTTGGGGAAATCAGGCGGAGCTCTAATCCAGCAGTTCATGATCTTATCCTTTGGATCGCTTGCGAATTCAACGCCATATCTAGGAGGGATCTTGTTGGTTATCGTCACTGCGTGGTTGGCTGCAGCTAAGTCGTTGGAGGGACAGTTCAACGCTTTACGGTCTGAAGAAGAGCTCGAGAAGGAAATGGAGAGAGCATCATCAGTCAAGATCTCTGTTGTGTCTCAAGACGAAAGCGGAAACGGTTCCCTTGGAGAATCTTCTTCTAGCACTTCTTCTTCGGAGAAATCTGCTCCCACCAACATATAGAAAGGCCTTTTTTGATACTGGTTTTAGGTGAAAAGTAAAAAAATGTTGAAATCAAAAATAAGATTTTGAGAGTGAGAAGAAGAAACACCAAATCTCTCTCATAACAGTTTCCCATTTGCCCACTCTTTTAGTCTGTAGCTTTTTTTAACATTCATTTTTCAGTTCAGTTTGGTTTAGCCTTCTAAGTTTCTCCCTCTGATAAAC